CCCATCCTGTTGCTAGTGGGAATGGCCAGGGCAGACAATTAATTTATGGGATTTGGTGAGGAGGAAATGGAACCCTAAAGTCATGCTGATTATAGTTTCCTCTTTGCACAGTGTGAGCAGCACAGTGTTGCATGGGATAGTGTCAAATGTGTGCTAGAATCTCCAGCTCTAGTTACTGCAGTCGCTTCCAAGGCAGAAAATTCTACCTTAGGAAAACAGTTAACTCTGCTGAACTGCTCAAGTGTACCATTGAGAGCTGTGTCCCTTTGAACATCCTATGCTCTCTAAATAACCCTGGCAGAGTTTTCTAAATGTTCACATACATCTAACTCTCTCACTCATCCAGTGGTATAGTATTATAGTATTTTTTCCCGATTAGTATGAAACAATACTACATTTAGTCCTCCAGTTTTCCATTCACTGATGCTGTCCGATTAATTATATTTTCAAGGAGTTAAATTATGTAAAATTATAAGCATGTGTTTAAGATGGCTATCTAAACAAGGTAGTATAAATACCTGAAAGTATGTGATCTATCTGTCTATCTATGTATCTATCTCTATCTTTCTATCTAAACAATAGATTCCATATAATTTACAACCTTAACTATTAGGCCAAGCTTTTATGCAGCAAATTATTTTTTCTTATAGATTGACATGTCTGAAGTCATTAAAGGTCATGCAATAAACTAATAAGTATTTTTGTACATTGCTTACAATTTAAACACAGCCAAAGAACAGGAAACTCAGGCGGATTTTTTTAAAAAAAGATTTTGAATTTAATTACTGGAATAGAAAAAAAAGCTACTTCTTTTGGAGCGTTTATCTTGTAATTGCTTGCAAATTTTGAAGAGAAGTCTTCAATTGATTCGGTTGGTTGTGATGCATTCCTGCTAATTAAGATGATTCCTTGTTGGGTTCTGGATATCCTGATTGCTTTTTTGGGTTTTACAGAACCCATAATCAGGCATTATAATTTGTGTTTGTTTCTGCCACAATTTTTTGCTGTTATGGTTGGGAAGGCCTTTCATGTTGAGTCTGTTTCTAAGTAATTTAAAACTTCTCAAGACAGTTCAAAGCACGATTCACATGGAAGAGGTGGGACCTTCATTTGTGATTCCGCCTCATTTTAGGCTCCTCGGCTTTGAAGAAAGTGCATTGATCTGTCTGCTAATTGACTTTAAATTGTGTAAGTTCTTTTACATTTCTGAATGAGGAAAACAAAGGGTTGTTCTGTCTGAAAAAGAATACACAGAGAGATTCTCAGGCTGCAGTTTTATACTTCTACTTAATGTGATCTCTTATACCTTTTAGAAAATGAAATGCTAAATGTTTGCTCATTTTATCATATGCATAAGTGTGAGAACTGAAGTGAAGATAACAGATCTAATCATAACCCTTGCAGATAGTTACTCACATCCCAATGTGTTTCCTTTAAGTGGATTTGTTGTTATGTTTGAAAACAAACATAAGTTATAAGAAGTGGCTTTGTAATTTTAATAAAAGTTTTTGATGTCATTGAATCAATACCTTCTTTCCTGGGATTTGTCATAGCAAAACAAATGGAAACCCACACAGAGGTTTACACATAATTACATCAGCTTGGCAGTAGGCATTGTTCTACATACCACTGGTGGCTTTCTTTGTATTTAACCATCAACACAAAAGCATGCTACAAATGGCAACTCATGTTTTCACAGTATAAGCATATCACAGTTTACATAATAATTATTCCTTTATGTGACTTTCATGTTTCTGATGTTTGGTGTCATAAATACCCTGTAATTAACGTTGCATGTAAACTCTGTGAGTTGAAGTTGTTGTGACAAATCCCCATGGAAGAAGGCATTGATTCAATCACAAACATTTTAGAACTCTTAGTAAAGATTATAAAACCACTTTCTTTAACATTTACTGACACAATCATAATGTCCAGAGTGATAAGAGCTGATTTAGGTTTAAGACTCTACAGATAATAAAAGTAGTGATGAAAAACAATAATTGCATGAAGGTGTTAGGCTTATCTTCTGAAGTTGCAGAATAGTTATAACCTAATAAGCAACACAAATGAGAGTAAGGCCAGGTATATATTCATTATTACACTCGCCCCAGTAAACCAGGGCAGCTGTGCTTCCTTCACATCCTTTATTATCTTGTACTGGAAAATGGGCCTTTGCTGTGTGTGTGTTTCACGGATAGAACACAAGTATCATTTGGTTATGGCAGCATAAGCATTGCTCTGCACGCTGCAGTGGTTTTCTTTGTATTTAGTCTGTTTTAGTTTCACTGATTGTCGTGAAGCTGAAGGTTGACTTCTATCCATGTACTGTCTGCTCTATTATCCTTTCCCTATGGGTTCAGTTAAAGAGTTTGCTAATTACTGTCTCACAGACAGTGAATAGCTGAAACGTTCCTGTCTGTGTTGCTGAGGTCGGTGATACCTATCGATTTGTTTCCATCTCCAGTGACCGGTTTCTTCCTGCAGGATCCAATTTGCTACTGAGCTTTACTGTGAGATAATTTCATTTCTACCTTCCTTATGGATCAGGTTTTTTTTCTCTGTCAAGTTCCATTGATTATCTACTGAATAGGTGATTTGTTGAATGCAGTCTAAATCTGTTTTATTGTTAGCTAGTACATATTGTTTTAGCATTACCTTTTACAATTCTTTACAAGATATAAAACATGTCTACTATAAATGACGAATACTAACAGTTGAGAGTTAAAGCTGTGAGTAGCATGTGTTTCTTCCCAGATTTATACAAATCTGTTTTTTCCAAATTTTCAGGATATATTATTGATTTTTGTCACTATTTTAACTTTCAGGATATTACAGATTTTAGAGAAACAGTTATTTTTTAAGTAGCTTCAAAACATAGAGATTTTTCTCTAAATTGTACCATGGATCCTCAGGTTAATGTCTTTCTAAAAACAGTGAAATTGTTTGGGCATTTTTCTTCCTCTTTGTCCTGTTATGACCTATGTTAGTTCTGGTTGGATTTTTTTTTTTTTTTTGGTTATTCGATACAGGGTTTCTCTGCATAGCTTTGGAGCCTGTCCTGGAACTTGCTTTGTAGACAAGGCTGGCCTTGAACTCACAGAGATCTTCCTGCCTCTGCCTCACGAGTGCAGGGATTAAAGGCGTGCGCCACCACCACCCAACTTGTTCTTGTTGGAATCTATGTTTATTGAATAAAGATGAAAAAGGCACATGCATACAAGTACTCTCTGAGAGAAAGAGTGCTTGTATTTTCCAAGTCTTTATCCTGTCATTGAAAGAGGATTTGCAAACACATTATTAGCAAATGAGTGGATTTTAGATCTCTTATACAATTACTAGAGGGAGAGTTTTCAGATAAACTCCCCGCCTTTCTTAAATTGCCCCACTTTATCTTGGCAAGGACTGGACATTAACACTGTGACAGATGGAGAGAAGGAAAGAGGGATGATTCTTGATGGAGGAGGTTGTACTTGAGTACATGATATTGTTGAATTACAGGCACAAAGTACAATCATAGAATACTAGCACTGAAAGAAATCGTAACAGTAAATCCAGATCAGTTCACATCTGAAGAAAGGCAGGTGGGCTTAGTTCCTCTGTAAGTATTTAATTATATGGGCACTCATTGGGCAAGTACTCCTGTTACTGTTGTTGTTTAGGCTTCTATAGCATCTAATGCAGTAGGGACTTTCCAGCATCCTGGAAAGCTTAACTCTTGATGAAATGGGGGGGGGACACAATAAAGCTTACTGGCATAGCTCTGTGGAAAGGCAATGATTGCCAGAGCATGTGTGGAACATTGTGAACTAACTGATACTGGTGTCAGTACTAGTCATCTAGGTGGAATTTCTTCCTTCTTGACTTACATAGTGTGTCAGAGAGGGGAACCCATATGAGCTAGTTGCGTAGAGGCTATTGAAGTACGGAATATTAATTAGGGTATGGTAGAGGAACTGAAAAGAGGACAGCCTGTAGATTACCTGCTCGTATGTCATAAACTGCATCTCTGTCACTTCGGGTGCTAGGAAGACAGACGGGTTAGACGGTGCTATTAGTCCTAAAGAGCCCAGGGCATAAGGTCATGTCCTCAGAAAGATGGGTATATTTTTCTCTGTACATTTCCATTTGTCATCTCTGGTAGTATACGAACACTAACATTTTAGTGACATGTTATAAAAATATTTCTGATTCTGTTTCTAATAAGGATAGAAAAATATCCATTGACTTTTTTATTATTTCACATTATTCTAATTATATTTGGACATTCATTTTTCAAAATTACTTACAGAGTTGATTTCATATGTATTCTAGGTTAGGCTTTAGACTTTAAGGTTTTCAGAATGCCTTAAATTGAATACCTCATTTTTGTTTATCTTTGTCATTGTATTTACTAAAACAGATTTGAAATACTTTGAAGAGGTTTGAGTTGAAAAGAAAAACCTTGTCTAAGTTTTTAAATTTTCTAGGGATAGGCTGTGTGCATTAGTGAATGCAATTGGTAGAAATGTGCTTTGCCTTCTATGTTTCTTTCTTATTATGCTGACATTAGCTACTTAACAGGAATAGAAAATACAAAGGAGAGCTTATTTGTTAATTGTTTGGTGTAACATCTGTCAAGATGGCTCAGCTGATAAAGGCCACCACGTTTGACATTTCAACTCCTGGGGCCTACATGGTGGAAGGAGAAACTCACTCATGCAAGCAACCCAATGTTCAAGATACATAAAAATGTATTTATCCTTTTGCTGGCAAAGCTATATTTAGATTTATGCTGTGTAAAATGGAAAGTGGTTATCTATGGGAATTTATGGTACAATTCCTCAGAAGCGTTGCGTATTTATTTCATTTGAGCTATGGCTTCTACGAGTTCTTGTCATACTGATGGCTAATTAGTTTTACTGATGTTATCAAAGGCTTTTGGTTATCTACAGTGGATGTAGGTGTGACGTTCTGAAATATTAGTCACTGACTCTTGGCTCCTCTTTGCCTTGTTTGGATAGGCTGCCCTGCAAGTTGGGGGCCATGGAGAAAGGCTGCACCAGTGTCGGGAAGTGATGCTTCTGACTTACAAGTCCATCCCCATGCAAGTAGATGGGGAACCATGTAGGTTGGCACCCGCCATGATTCGGATCTCCTTGAGGAATCAGGCCAACATGGTACAGAAGAGCAAGCGGAGAACCTCCATGCCTTTGCTCAATGAGTGAGTCTTGGCTTGCCTTCCTGGGTGACATGGGGACACCGGGAAGCAGATGGCAGAGCATGTGCATGGTCTGGGGACCTCACTGTGTTGGAAAGGGGGAGAAAAGTCAAGAAAGCACCACAGGCCCTAGATTGCTCTCTTGGGAATACCTGAAACCAATTTACCCTTTATTTGATAGTTATTTGACCTTTTTTTGGGTAAATATGCCTGTGTGGAAGATAGATGACTCTCAAAAACTGACCACTTAGGCATATATTGTGTTCAGATGAGTTGGTTTTAGTTTTAGTTTGGTTTAGGGAAGTCTGTCACTAGCTCCTTTTTATGTTGCATTTTTTTCTGTCCCTCAATGAGTGGTCCCTTTCCCTGCCTTTCCATTTGGGGTCCTATGTCCTCTGATGCTTCAACTTCGTTTTGCCTTCCAAGGCAGCATCTACTGTCCATAGTTAACTCAACTCACTATGACTACTTTAAGCATCAGGTATCCCTACCTTCCTATACTTTTTCTTTGTTTTCTTAGGTGTTTTGATAAACCGATACAAGGTAAGACAATACAGAATAGGTAACACAGAACATATTTCGTTTTCTAGTGTACTTGACTCAAATTGGTGACTTAATGGTGTACTTGGGATTGGAGAGGTAGCTGGAGCGAGAAGAAGATTTGTGTCATCTTTTTGAGTATCTTCTAGATATCACGTCATCATGCCTGAGGTCATTTCAGGGCTTAGTCTTGGGTCATTCTCTGTCACAGTGAGGGCCATCAAAGGTGCACCTCCCGTTTGCTCTCCGTGCTGCATGGTTACCTATTGTACTGAATGGCTAGCTTCCTGGCGGTGCCTGCAAAGCCAGGGCATGCTTTGCCGTGTGTTCATGAAGTCAAGGTGAGAATCCGCACAAGTTCCCAGAATATCGGATGACGCAGGTGCCACAGCTCCCGTCACCTCTCTCTGTGGCAGCAGATGCTCAGGAAGAGCAAGAGACAGCGCTCTCCAGGCACTGGAGCTTTTGGCATCTGCTTCTAATTCGGAGGCTGGCGTGAGAAGTCCGCTTCCTCTGTTCTTGGAGTCCGGACTTCCTGGAACGTTGTCCTGGTTGTTTCCTACAGCTTCCGTTTACTCCACTTACTCTGAGTTGATGATTCCTGCTTCGTTTACATTCTGCAGCTGGCAAAACTCTTGGCGCATTGCTGGTGCTTTCTGTCCTTGCTGCCTTTTCCTTCTTCTAGGGTGAAGACATAATGGTTGAGTTTACACGTTCAAAAAGACGAGATGTTAACAGTTGTACGTGGTTCCTCCACGTGTCTTTAGAAATAACAGTCAAACCATGACACATTAGTTGGGCAAAAAACAAAAAACAAAACAAAACAAAAAACCTAAGAATTAATGAGTAGGAAGCCGTCTCTGAATTTGTACAGCAACCTAGGTGCCTAGGTTACTTGTAGGTTATCTATTTAAAAGATAAAGCTCAATGTGTTTGTTGAAGTGAAGGGTACGGTCTCATGACCTTCTTAGATGTAAAACTGTTTTGAAGGGTTCAGTTTCAAACAACTTTTATGCTTCTGTCAAGAAAAAAAATGTCTTCTCTAGGTAATCCTATTGATTAGAGTTCATTTGACTTTGTTTATATGCAAAATAAATAGGCAGTTTTTTTGTCCTCGTGGCATGTGTGACATATGACACTTCTTGCACAGATGTTCAAGAGCAGCCTCATCTAAAAAAATACTGACACTTCCTATCTGGGGCAGTGTTCCTATCTTAACAGCCCCATGCCACACAGGAGGCCATATATAATGGGAGTCATTTTTTCATTTTTCAAAAAATAATCAAAATTTGGAAAGTAAATGTTCTATAGCTATATAAAAATTATTGTTCAACACTATTTTAAGGAAAACAGTGCTGATAATACTTTTTTAAAGAAAGGGGAATAAATCTGGTTACCACATCATGCTTATTCACTAAGTCTGGCTTTCTCTTTAATCTTTTTTTAACTCTACAGTTAGTTTATTTCTACTTCATTACAAAACATTTCTTTCTATCTCTTTTTTTAGATCTAACTTCTTCCTCTGTATTTCCAAAAAGAGTTTCAAGTTTAAAGTCAGCCTTGATTTTTGGACTTTTATTTAGCCCTCTGTGCCTTTGAACTTCTCTCTGTCTTGTCCACCATTGTATGACAGAAGAGATATTTAAGTATTTAAAAAAACATTTTACTCTTTTATTTCTCTGCTTCCCTTTCTTCCTTCCTATTTTGTTTCTCTTTCCTTCCCTGCTTTCTTCTCCTTCCTTCTTTCTCCCTCTTCCTTCCATACTTCACTCCTTTCTTCCTTTCTTTCTCTTCCTTTATTGCTTTCTTATAAACTAAAACTGTTTCATTTCCTTAATCTTCTTGTATACATTTTCTTACTGGAACAGGCAGACAACTAGTTTACAGCATCATAAAGTTTTCATCTCAAAGGCCAGTGTGTGTGCATGTGTATGCATATGTGCATATGTGTGTGCATGTATATGTGCATATGTGCATGTGCGTGCGTGTGTGTGTGTGTGTGTGTGTGTGTGTGCGCGCGCATGCGCACGTGTTCCCAATGATGGGATAGTAGCTGCTTGGTTCATCTAAGGGACCGGGCTCCTTTCATTCATTCATGTTACCTGGAAAGACTTGCTGTTTCAATACTGTGGTTCCCTGAATGACTTCTCCTTCCCCTGAATGCTGGTGTGTCTCACACATCTGCTGTTCCTTTGGGATACTGAATCTTAGGTCTGTGACTTCAGCCCCGACTCTTCTCAAACCCTGAAGACTATTCCCCAAACATTGTAACTGACAGTGTTTTCCTGAGTGACAACTTGTGGCAGCCTCAGGTTGCACACTGAGCACCAGATCTTTCACTCTCCACCTGTGCAGTCCCTTCTTCCCACCCACGTGAGTCTGCTCCTCCCGCGTGTGCTCATTCATCGTGAGTCTGCTCCTCCCGCGTGTGCTCATTCATCGTGAGTCTGCTCCTCCCGCGTGTGCTCATTCATCGTGAGTCTGCTCCTCCCGCGTGTGCTCATTCATCTTGAGTCTGCTCCTCCCGCGTGTGCTCATTCATCGCGCCTCTGGCCCCTGGAGCCATCTCCCTCACCCCCGCTTCTCTACCCCTAGCAGGTTAGCTGGCGCTTTCCTTGAAACCCACCTTCAGTTCAAAGTCTCCCGAGTCTTTAATACACCCTATCCCTTCTGCTAGGGTGCTCCTGCTACTGATCCATCTCTCAGCTCACCCTGCTGCCCCTCTCCAGAAAGATGGGCTTTTCCTCTACACCGATCAAAATGGCCTTCCTCAAAGTGGAAAGCCCATGTCCCTTATCTTCACAGACGGCTTTGGTCTTTGCCATCTTCATCCTGATGTTCTGTGTCCCAGGAGCCGTCACCCTTCTTCCTGCTCATCTCTGCCCCTGCCTTTTCTCCCCATGGTATGGTGGCCTCCCTTGCTTCTTTCGTCGGCCAGTCCTGCTCACAGCGCAAACTCCAACTTGTGCATCACTTCCAGCAAGTACCATCCTCCAGCTAAGGCTAGCGGTTGGTTGTACCTCTTGGTGCCGTTTCCATCACATCATCTGTCAACATAATGCAGCCGTCATCTGCTGACTTGTCTCTAATCTGCTCTGTGGGGTGGTCCCAAGCTTTTCCTCTCAGAACGCCTGTACCTGTCAGTGTCTCAGAGACATGAGCACATATTGAATCCATGACTCACAAGCAGACCCTATTATACTTCTATTTCTGCTACATTTCTTGGAAACTATTAACAAAATAACAGCTATCTAAAAATCTCATGCATATAGAGGTGATATTTGAATATGTTCCGAGGGTACGCTTATTGCAAGTATAGGACAAATGTTGAATCATTTAGATGTGGTTACTTGGATAATTGGAAGGAGTCTCCATGAGAGACAGCTAAATAGTAGGCCTTCATGATGCTACTCTGTACATATTTATTATGAAAGGAAAAACATTTTTCAGGAAATAATGACAGTTTCATTAGTGTATACAAAATAAAATGTGTTCACTAACTCCACATTGGCAAGGGAGCATTCTTTATTTTATTACAACATATGAATCTACACAGACTATGGAGTCTAATAAATATTTTCCCCACAAAATGTCTCATTATGTTCTATATTATGAATCAGCATTGAAGGAGACCAGAAGCTTAAAATAATTGGTATGCAAGGGAGGTCTTCAGCTGTTACCCTTAACTTCACTAGCAATTGTGAAAGATGGTCATTTTCTTCAAAGGCATGAGTTCTAGTTAGGTAACTTTGAGTCGGGCAACTGGGTTCCATCATCCTTGGCAATTGAGGTGCATGTTACTGATTTTAACGGAGAGTCTTTGAAGATAACATGGACAGAACACTGAAGTGAACTCATGGGTGACCTTCTGTGAGAATAAATGCACCCAGTAGACAGAGAATCTGGGGAGCTGCTGCTCAGCATTATAGAAGTTTAAAAGAGAGAGGGAAAAGGGTGGTGACTGACACAGAAGTGAGTTTGGAGGTTCAGCTTGTTAAGCTGTGCAGCGTCTACTATCTCATAACATTTGTGGCCCCTCTCCATCACAAAAGAATGAAGAAAGGGGAGGTGTTTATAGTTTATGGTTATGGTTTCACTTGATACATAGAATATGGGTGAAATTAAGGCATCTGAGGGATGAAAATGGAAAAAAAATTTAAAGCTGTTGCTGGAGTTTTCAGAAAGCCTTTGCTAATCAGCCAAAGGCTCAAGGTAGTTGAGTCCCTATTATCAAGATGGCCTCTGGTGGCTCTCCAAGGCAAGGTACAAGGATGAGATTGACTCCCCTCCACAAGCAGGAGTCGGTGGCGCTGGCTTCCCACTCTGATGTGGAAGCCTACGCCTCTGCCCTTGAGTTGTCCTGAGTGTCCTGGAGCAAAGGTGCCATTGGCAATGAGCCCTGTGTCCATCCACTGTGAACCCTCGCACCTCGGCCCTGTGCTCCAGTTGTGGCTTGCCTGGAACTAGCTGCTTCCGTGTGTCCTGTTGGCTTTCATGGCTATCACCGGCTTCCCTGGATTGTTTCCATGGCTGGCTTAACCCCCACCCCCTTTATTTTCTTTCATCGCTGTTGGTAATGCGCTCATTTAATTTCTGTTTAAACTCTGTATGTCTCTCTTTCTCTCCCCGGCTTGCTCCTTGTTTGTCCACGCTGTCCTGCTGACTCTGTCTCCGCTGCCCATTCCCCGCTGCCTCTAGCATCCATCAGGTGCAAGCTGCGGACCTGCGGCGAGTGTCTGCTCCCCCCGGCTCCTTCACCATGTGAGTACAGCGCCATTCTGTTTTGACACTTCTCCTCAGGGGTGGATCGCCTGCAACATCCTCTTCCTCTGCAGGTCTGCTGCTCAGAACAGGGGACCCCCTAATCACAGATGGGTTCACACCCCTCTTTTTATGTGAAACGGAGCAGTAGAGCTCTTTGTGCTTTGTATGTCCCGCCCCCCCCACTATGCGTTTGCACGTTCATCTTTTTATGAGATGCTCAGCGCCAGTGGTTGTGTGGGTTGGTGTAATAGTCTGTGCTAAGCGCCATTACTTTTCAAAGTTTGACAGGACAGCCAGACCATATCGTTACAGATACATCTGAGGAAGTGCTTACGGTCCTAACGTTATGCGTGGAACTTATTTTTGTACCAAAGACCCACAGCTGTTATACAATCATCAGTGACCCTGAGCTGTCACTTATCATTATGTATATATAGAGGTTTATGTTTAATGTACTCTGGGGTGTTTTCATTTTCTGGTGAAATTAAATAAACGAAATAGTAATATTAGTTTTAGGGTCTTACTTTAGCATTTTTGGTGCTAAACGCTGATTTGTCTTTCTTTCCTAGCCCCATATAATATATGTTACCTACTGTTTATTAAGCTTCAAGTACTATGCTAGGCTCTTTGCATCCATGAAGTAATTTATTATCAAGATGATACTATGCATATGTAATAGTACTCTCTCCTCTGCATACATGCCCAAGGTCACAGACTAACAAGTCATAGGTTAAACTCAAACTCAGGCAGCCAAGCTTCAAACTCACGTTGCCTTCCACCTGTCTAGAGTCTGTGTATTCCTCAATATCCAGTGGAGTATTTACCTTTTCAAAGAATTCTACCTGGATTATTGCTATCGGAGTCCATCAAAACTCACTGGCGTTGACTATTAATGAATCTGTTATAGTTTACAAAATTTAATTTGATTTTCATTACCTGAACTCTCTATCTCTGTATATTCCACACAAGACTTGTCCTACTTGAGGTGACTGGCAAGATAGCCTCATGAATCTTTGTGTTCCAGACCTATTCCTAGCCATAGTTGGTGAGTCGGGTTAGTGAGTAGGAAGATATGTATGTGTCAAGCCTGAAATCTACTGGTACTGCAGAGCACTTCCCAAGGTTTAGTTACTCAGTCTTGTTTTCATCTTATAGATGTCCGTTTATTAGAACTATGTGTTAGCTGAGGAACGTTTCGTTTTTGCATGGCTGAGTTCCAGGCACTGTTTAATGTTGTAGATAGTAATCTAGTCAGTGACCAGTACAACTACTTAGTACCTGCATGGCGCGTGAGGCTTCTAACTGAACAATCAAAACTCAATAGGGTACTAGTCTTCCATTCCCAATCTGTTGGCACTTGCTGGGTAACATTCTCCACTTTGTAGACTCATCGGTAAACTTGTTTTGAAAAAACTGGCTGTCAGCTTTCTGATCATGTTTTTAGGGGCTCCACTGACAGAGCCCAAAGAAAGGAGAGTGTCAGAAGCAGAAGCGGATGTGAGAGTGGTTGAATTCCTGTCCCTAGCAGGGTTGCTTTGACATTGTAGCCATGAATCTAAAGCGGGTCTGTTTACTTTGTACTCCAGGAGTGGGCTGTACAGGGAGATAAATGGTATCCATTTCCACAGGTAGAGCAGAAAGTAGGTGTGGTTACTTTAAAACTACAGCATTATTATGAAAATATTTCATGTCTGTGTCATACTAGTACAGCTTGTAGATATTGCTGCTTCGAACAATGGATGGGAGCATTTGTGTAATAAAATTTAACAACTGCCTTGTGGAGTGTGGATTCTACCAGGTGGTAGAATCTCTCCAATAGAGCCAGGACATGGAGAAAATCCCAAGCACAGCAATTCATTTTGTATCTTTACATCATGAAGAGGCGGTGGCTTAGTCTTTTCTGCCCATGCTATTTGAAAGGGCGAGACGTTCTCAGCTTGTTAACGGTGCTTGGCTCCTGTGATAGTCCAGACCTGTCATCCTGAACTGAGATGGCTGCTTGGTTTTCTGTTCTCTCAGAACCTGTTTTAAGTATATGCTCTTTGGATTTTTGGAGGGGGCCTCTCTGCTGCTCCTAAAGCTAACACTGCCTCCTTGAGATGTTCTGAAGTGCCCTTTTCCAGAAAGCATCTTTTGCGCTGGTTTCCTGGTGACTTTCTTTTTTTAAATGTGGCGATAAGCAGGAGAGACATAGATTGTTAGGAGTTGTACCATAAAACTCAATTCCAAACACACAAAATTTCAGCACTGTGGAAAAGATTTATTTGTACTATTATTAAATTGTGTGTGTGGGGGGGTGCACATGAATGCAGGTGCCTATGGAGTTCAGAATTGGACAACAGGATCCCCTGAAGCTGGAGTTCCAGGTGGTTTTAAGGCACCGTGATGTGGGTCCTCTAAATGGAACCGCTGTCCTCCACAAAAGCAATACTTGTTCTCTTTTTTTTTTCATTCTGAGATTATTTGTTCACAGTATATACAATGGAAATGTATTGAGAATTTATAAGTTTTTTATTTTTAAATTTTACATATCAACCCCAGTTCTCCCTCCCTCCCCTCATCTCGCCCCCACTTCCCTTCACCCCACCCCACCATCCAATCCTCAGAGATGGCATGGCCTCCCATGGGGAGTCAACTGAAGTCTGTCCTATCACTACAATGAAGCCTGACCAAGGTCCTCCCCACTGTGTCTAGGCTGAGCAAGGTATCTCTTCATAGGAAATGGGCTCCAAAGAGCCAGTTCATATACGATGGATAGTTCCTGGACCTATTGCCAGCGACCTATAAACTGCCGAATCCACCTACTGTCACCTGTATTCAGGGAGTCTAGTTCAGTCCTGTGCAGGTTCTGCAGCTGTCAGTCTGCAGTAGGTGAGCTCTCAAGAGCTAGGTCAGCTGTTTCTCTGGGCATGGTCTTGATCTGTTTGCTTATATTGCCACTTCTCCCTCTCTTCGACTGGACTCTGGGAGCTTGACCTGGTAGTTAGCTGTGGATTTCTGCATCTGCTTCCATCAGTTATCAGGAGGTCTGTCTAAGGTACCAGACTCAAGTTCAGCTTCCTCCCAGTACATGTTCTTAACCATTGAGCCACCTCTCCAGCACCTAGCATCAGGTGATATTTTGGTCCTTTATGGTCACGTAAGAATTGGATTTTAAACAAAAGTGTTTAAGGCTCCATTCACTAAATAAGACAATGCTAAGCTGATAATAATTACCTGCACATCTTTTACAGTGTACCTTGAAGAATTAATAAGCTTTATATGATTAAGTGTCTTCAAAGGGAGGTAGTCACTGAAGGGCACATACACACGTCATTTCTTAAATTGTGAATTATAGTGTTGAATCCTTCAGCCACACCCTCCGATTTAGCATCTGCTGAAAAACATATGAAACCTCAAAAGGAGACTTTCTAGAATTCTCTCACCCTTTAGTGGCCACTTTTCTCTGGGTTCTGGTTCCTTCTTGGTCTTCCAACATAAAACTGAAATAGTGTGATCCATTTCCATTTGACTCATTTTCATCTTTCACCACTATTTACTTCAGATACCAGATACTCTGGGATATTAAAAACATTGAGATCAGAAGGCTAAGTTCTGCCCTGGGGAAACAGACGCACCAGCAGCAATCCTAACTGAGTTGAGTATGTTGCAATTACAATGCAACGCTGTATCAAGTGGAGAGATCTGAATCGTATTTCTGTGTTGGCAACTTTTTACTGAGTATTTGCCACAGTTGGTTTTTATTTGTTTTATTCGTATTTGAAATTAATACGCAGCAACACTGTTTCTTCTGGCATAGTCCCATGAGGTTTTAAAGCAAGTGCAAATTCATATTAACCGTCACTGTCACCAGGACACAGATTAGTGTGTCACTGATTTTTCTCCACAATACTGCCCTGTGGACCACCCCACTGTCAACAGCTACTCTCATCGCCCAACATCTGCCAGCCACTGATTGCCTTAGATTTCTGGCTTTGAGGATTCCACAAATACAGAACCAAACAGTGTGTAGCCCACTTCAGCTGAGCATAACACCTTTGAGATGTATCCAAGTTGTCATATGGATCAGTCATGTGTTGGTTTTTATTTCTGAGCTGCATTCCACCCTGTGGCTGTTTCCATTCACCCACTGAAAGATACCTGGGTTGTTGCCAGGTTAAAATGGTTGTTATGATGGCTCAAACCCCTAAGGAGCAGATTTTTGTATAAACAAAAGTTTTCATTCCTTTAGGTTAACTGCCTGAAAATGAGGTGGTCAGATCCACATGGCAAGTAGATTGCTTTTCCTAATAGGAGAGCAAATGGAAAACTGCTTTCAGAGTGGTTTTGCATTTTGCCTTCCTGCCAGTGATGTATGGTAGTTCTCATCATGCCGCATTGCTTCTGGTGTTCTGCTGATGGCTGCACTGTCAGTCTTCACTATTAGTCTCTGTGGTGGGAGTATGGTTTTGCTACATGATAGTTTTCGTTTGTGTTCTCAAGTGGCTAATCATACTGAACATCTTTCCACATTCTTATGCGTCATTTACTTATTCTCTTTGCCAATGTGCCAGTCTTTGGTTTTTGTTGGTTGTTTGGCTGGTTGCTTTCTGAGTGGGTCTCATATATCCCGGGATGACCTCCAACGCACTATATAGCCAAGGATGACTCTGAAATCCTGGTGCTCCTGCCTCTGCATCTTAAGGGGTGCAATTACAGTTGAGTACCACCACCTGACAGGGTATATTTGATACTGGGAATTGAACCCAGGGCTTTGTGTTCATTAAGCAAGTGTTCTATTAACTTCACTATGTTTGTAGCCTTTGGTTACTTTTTAATTGGCTGTTTTTTTCTGCCTGTTGAATTTACATAAACTACATATACTACTTTCCCTTCTCTCCCCCTTGCTCCCTTTGTTCTTTCCTTCCTTTCTTCATTCTTTCCTCCCTTCCTTTCTTCTATATAATCACTATATAACCTTTCTTCTATATAACCTTTCTTCTATATAACCACTGAGT